TTTCTTTCTTTCTTTCTTTCTTTCTTTCTTTCTTTCTTTCTTTCTTTCTTTCTTTCTTTCTTTTCTAATATTTGTATTGCTTTTATCTTGTTAAAAATTTCTTCAATAAAAAAATTGTTTTTTAAAAAAGCAGCTGCATCTTTTCCTGATACCACACTGCTGCTTTTAGCAGCTGCAGCATGATCCCAGGAAAAAACATGTTTGGGTGAAACAGTTGCAGACAAGTTACTTTTGTACCACTGTGCTGCCTGAAGCAGCTCTTACCTTCACATCCAAAATGCTGGCCAGCTCTAGCCAGTGTGTTCTGCTCATATTGAATGTGTTCTCTCCCTGGCCTTTTCCAGGCTCTTGGTGCTGAGAAGCCAAGCGGGATTCATGTCTTTGCAGTTCTTCTCCATGCACATCTTGCTGGCAGAGCATTAAGGATGCGCCATTTCCGCAAGGGCAGTGAACTACAGCTGCTGGCTTATGATGATGAATTTGACTTTAACTTCCAGGAATTTCAGTACCTGAAAGAAGAAAGGACCATCCTGCCTGTATGATGTTTATTTCCTGCTTTTTCCTAGCATTATTGCCATTTTTCTGTTTCTCCAGGCCAAATTGTCACTATTTCTTTCCTTTTTTTGGTTCAAAGCTTCAAATGCCCACATTCACTGTTGCATGACACACATATTTACCCATTCTGAGAGAAAAAGTACTGAAGAAGGATCAGAAGTAAAGGGCAAGCAGACAAAGGATGAAATACTTCTTTTATCTATTACGAATATGAACTAGTAGTAAATTAAAAGTTCATATTCTTATATTTACTTTGTTTCTCCTCCTGCAACATTTTTATTTTTATCTGATTTTCTTTAAAGGATATATTTCTCCTTTGGGTTTTTGCTGTTTTTGTTACTGATAACAGTTTTGACTTGCTTGGTAAGTAAAACATGAACTGCAGACTGGAGTCTCCTCCTCACATAAATCTGTCAGCCTTGGTCAGTAGCAGCTTGCCTGGACAGCTGTAGGGCTCTCAAGATGGCCAGGCCTGACAAAGAGGGCTATGCAGTTGCAAAGTGGAAAATTTACCATCTGCAGCAATGCTGTTAATATGAGCTAAGAAGATTAATTATGGCTTCAAAAATGTCTTGAATCCCAACAGATTATTCAGAAGCAACATGTTTCTTTTAAATACTTGTATTTGTTGACAATAGTATTATTACTGAAATTATTATTCCACAAAGTATAATAGAAGGCAGTCTATCGAAGCTGCTTTAATTTGTATTCCTGAACTAGCACAGGGTTAGATGGCCTGAATGGCCCTTTCTAACCATGGGCATCTATGTAGGGCTAAGGGATGAAACTTGCATTGTGATGTCATGATGCAAACCCCACAACTTACATACTTGGTTCTAATGTTGGGATGCAAATGTAAGGCCAGGTTTGCATTGTGATGTCATGACGCAGGTGTCTTCACTTTTTCATCTTCACAGAAGCCAAGGCTTGCAACTCCAGGATTCTATTGTTATATGAAACAAAGAATTTGGATTCCCATGATGATTTGGTATAAAGTAGCCCAGGAATCCATGTGCATTTTCTCAAATCCTTAAGTGCATACCCACAACTCTTACACATTTTTCACAAAATTGTAATTTTTAGTGTGGAAGAAAGAGAGATTGAAGAGGAGCTATTCATATTCAGTATTTAAATTAAATTAAATCCATGTTAATTTTTGTCTTGTTTCTGCCTCTTTTCCTTGTCCTGGCTCCACTCATTTGTTGAATGTGATCTCTAGTACATTACTTAAAGTCTGCCTGAGCCCAAATTTTATAACTCTCTAAGAGTTATCTCTTTGCTCTGGAGTAATGAAAATTATGCTGCTATTGCTACTTTGCACAGTATTAGCATGTTTTCCTCATTATTACAAGCATAGGTCTTTAAAATGTTTCTGTGATCTACTAAAACTCAGTTCTTTGTGCAGCAGGCAAAAACAGTTCAAGTGATCATATGAATCAGACTTCAAGGCTATTTGATTTAGATTCCTAGTCTAAGCGCTGTAATTTCTTCCTGTTTTCAGGCAGGGTGTGCTTTTGCTGTAATATCAGATGCTTGGGGGTGTGGGAACCTGACTAGGGTTTGTTGGAGTTGAATCCAAAATATCTAGAGTTCCCCAGATTGGGAAGGCTAATATTGGGGGGGGGGGGGTTATGTCATTTACTTTTGACATATTTGCTTCTAAGGAAAAGAAGTGGGGAACAATATCCCAATGTACTTCTAAAAATTATCTTCATAGCACAATTGTTGATGGGTGTATGTATCAATTAAAGAATATTTCAGCCTGCATTTTATAACTTTTATAACTTCATACCAAATAATGTGAGTGTGCATGTTTCTTTAAATTACAATGACTCAAATGTGTAAGAATGTATTTCTTGATATTGCATTTCAGGGAGATAATTTAGTCACTGAATGTCACTACAGCACCCTCAATCGGTCAGATATGACCTGGGTAAGAAATTTTATGACATGGCTTGATGTGAATGAAAATATAGTAAAATTAACATGTTTATAGAAAGTGTTGGAGATTGTTAACATGTAAGTGTTATTATTAAGAAATAAGGTTGATGTATATCTAAAGTTAGAACTATTTCATTTCATCCTGCTTCTTCCCTGTAGGTCAACTATAGCATAGGAGACACCCCCCCCCCCAATTACTGGAGAGTTTAGGGGTGGCCCATTCAAATAGGTGAGCAAGGTTGCTGCCTGGGATGCCAAGTTAATTAAGACACCAAATTTTGAGGGAAAAAGTCAAATAAATAAGCTGCTGGACTAGTGTTTCTCAACCTTGGCAACTTTAAGATGTGTGGACCTCAATTCCCAGAATTCCCCAGCCAGCCATGAATTGAAGGCCACACGTCTTCAAATGGCCAAGGGTGAGAAACACTACACTAGACTGATGCAATGTCCTTGGATTGCAGTCTTACAGGGATTTAATATACCTTTAAATAATTTAAGGGAAAGATGAACATTGTGTTTTAAAATTTTTATCTTTATTCATGATTCACGATCAAAATTTGAGTTTGCTTCCACATTAAAGGTCCTAAATTAGAATTAAAGCAGAGATTCCATGCTGTATTACGTGATCTGAGATTAAAAGGAATCTTAAAATTGTATCTCCTTTGAAATAATGCATGCATTATTTAGGCATATTGAGTTTATATAGACTTTAGCAAAGCAAAATAAAAAGCCTCCTCCTATAATGTTTCATAGGGTTGTGCAAAGGGGTAATTGACTCCCTTGTTTGCATTAATCTACAAGGTATCAAACGGAATCAGGTCCCTGTGAGTCAAACTCAAACATTGTTATCTCCTTCCTTCCATCAATGGATAAAGCTGAGAGGACTGAGTGGTATGGTGGACTCTCAGTTACTAACATGATTAATCAGCCAGTGAGATGTCAACAAGCCTGTCAGCTCAGGAAAGCAGGTGGCCTGCAATCTTTAATAAGAGCTTTAATTTTTATTTTTAAGTTGGAGTACCACGCTTTCTGAATTGCTTTAGCACAGCTTCTATAGAAACTCTTCTCTGGATAATTTTGGGATGCTGTGCAAAAATCGTCTTCTTATCTTTGCTGTCTCTGCCTCAAAAGAGGTGCCATTTGATTGAAATCTTGCTGGGTTAATACCATCTCAAAGTCTGCCATCCCTGCTCTTTCCATCCCCAGAATGAAGCATCTACAGATAATTGGATATTTCCCAAATGTAGCCTATAGTTGGATCTTTTACTAAATCAAATCTCAACTCACTTAGGGATTAGATTCAGTCCCATTTTCTTGAATTTCAAATTTGAATGTAATCTCACCACCTTAAAATCTCAGATTCAAAAAGGACCTTGGCTGCTTTGTCCATCCCAAGAGTTCCCCTTGAGAATGACAGTCAATGTCAGGAGAGTCGTCTTGTCTCGTACACTGAGACTTCCCCTTCCTTTCCTGTTCCTGTCTTTCTGTACTCAGCAGACTTGAAGAAAAAGGGACACGTTTTTTCTACCACATACAGCTGTTCAGCTGGCAAATAGACAGAACTGGATATAAACCAAAGAATTAGCAAAATAGTGAGATTGGATAACATTTTTTTCATCTTTCTAATTCATAATTTTATATAAAGATGACAGTATAAAATCACACCTGAGGATTCTCAGGTCAGGTGTTACATCTTTTGCAAAATATAATCTAAGACAATTGTATGTAGCCTAAAACAGGTAGTAAATATTTAGCTAGGAACAGAAAGAAAAAAACCCCATTATCCTTGGAAAACATTTACAGAATTGAAAATGTCATTGTTCTTTGTGTGATTTGATGCCAGCTGAACTCAACAGTCATTTAAGAATATTAGTCTACATGGCACCAAATTTTCATTTTTGAAGATTGAAGTACAAGGAGAACTTCAGTTTGCCTTGCCCTTTCTCAAACCATTGTCTTCCTCCTGGGTTCTGATTCCTTAAGTTCTCTTCTTCAAACTCTCTGAGCCTTTCTGCATAGATTATTTCCACTGATACAGGTTTCCCCTAGGGTTGCTAAATATATGGTTTCCTTCAAATATTAGCTTTTTCCATTTGAAATTCTGTTCTTTGAGCTACCCTGAGGAAAATGCCTGCTTGTTTCTGACCAGCTGTAAGGTGCAGACCCAGCTCTCATAAACATTAGAATATAGGATTCGTCTTCTCATTAAAAAATGCCACCAATGGAACCTGAGAATTACAACTGTGCAAACTAAGGAAAACTTACTTCAGATGGTGGTAGAAGTACTGTATAGTTTTTCATGCGGGCAGATAACTGAGCTTTCAGACTGCTTCAGGAAGTTATTGACTATACTAAAAATAGCCTCTCTTAATCACAGATCGTTTCATATAGTCCTTAATGGTGTATCATTTTTGTGTTACTGTCCAATGCTTGATGCTGTTCTTTTCTTGGCTACCATCATGTTAGATCAGTGTTGTC